GATCTGTGACTATTTTAAAAATTATTTTCTGTGAGCAAATTTGATTTTTGATTATTATTTATAGCCCTTGACTATATTCCTGCTGAACTATGGTCTTTTTACTTTAAAAACATTAAGATTTTAATATGAATCAATCAATCAATCAATTAAATCTTATCACACTTATGTATATATAGGAAAAAAATCATGGGATGTATAGGGTTTGGTACTGTCTTGTGGTTTAAGGCGTCCACTAGGTATCTTGGAACACACTCACTGTGGATAAGGAGGGAGTACTGTATATTCTTGTAACAAGTAGTCCAGCTTCAGCCAATTACAGGCTACCAACTGCTCAGACATGTGCAAATAAGGCAAACAATTAGCTGCAACCAATCACATAGAGACTCTATGTGACTTCCTTTTGCTGTCTACAAATACTACCTACCCATGTTGCTGAGTGGAGCTCTCTGAACCTCTACTTGTTCTGAGTGCTGCTTGTTTTGTGAATTGTTCTTTGCTCAGATAAACTGCTAAATTTAATTTGTCTAAAGTTTTTAACAGTTTTTAAGTGACTATTTTGGATAAGTCAAAATTCAAAATTCAAATAATAATCCACAGTTTTAATGACTTTTCTAGAACTCTTAAAAGTATAAAAAGGATTACAGAGCATTAAAGCTTCATTAAGATTCTGATAAAACAAAGATGCCTATGTTAGTGAAAAATGATGATTCCCACACATCATTGAATACAGTAGTCCACACAAGAGATAGTGATAATTTTGGCATAAGGCATGAGTTGGAAAATTATATCCCACAAGCTAAATCCTGCCTGCTGTTGTTTTTTTTTTAACTTTTATTTAATGAATATAAATTTCCAAAGTACGATTTATGCATTACAATGGCTTCCCCCACATACCGTCCCTCCCACCCACTACCCTCCCCTTTCCCACTCCCTCTCCCCTTCCATTCACATCAAGATTCATTTTCGATTATCTTAGATAATTTTTTATTGGAACACATTCACATTCATCCATTTATGTATTGTCTGTGACTACTTTTTAGTCTCTTTTGGTATAATTAAGTTGCAGAGAGAGAGATTGTATGTGTCTCATAAATCCTTAAATATTTGCTATGTGATCATTTACAAGAAAAAAAATTTGCCAACCCCTGGCCTGTAGTGTTAGCACTGCAGGAAGAGACAAATGTATGAGCACATCATATTCTGGAAGCAGATTAGGAACAATTTTTATATGTTCTAGGAACAGAAGGAAGGACAATGGGGCTAGAACTGAAAAAGACCCAGGTACTATTCTTTTCCTATTTTATTTTCTAGCACATTGTTACCTATTACTTTTTATTTAGCCATTAATTAATTCCACAAATATTCTTTTAAGTTCTACTCTGTGCTAGACACCATATGGGCTGCCCCCCACCCACACAAATCCTAAGAATAAGGGAAATCAACAAACAATTGCAATACTTAATTACTTACAGTATGTACTAACCAAAATTGAGGGACAAAATGATGTGTTTGATGCAGAGAGGAGGGAATAAACTTTTGTCCCACAACCCATCAGTATTTCTCTGACATTCCACATCACTTTCCTCAAATTGTACTTGAATCACATCTTCCCTGGTTGTTCACATCTTCTCTCCTTCAGTAACCAAAATACAACATCATGATAGTAATAATCATCATTATAGCCAGTAATTCTCATCGAGTCAGGTGTTTTATACACATTATCTTATGTAATCATCACAGCCCTATAAGATATCATTATTATAATATTTATGAAATAGGAAATTGAAAGAGAATTGGAAGTCCTTTGCCCAAGGTCTCAGACATGCTCCACAAAGGGGAGCACTCAGAAGCATCTACCATTTTCAGCTTCCTCTGTTCTGACTCAGTGCTAGTGCTTTATGTTTAGAACACTGTTGCTTAATGGTATCACCACTGTTATTACTACTATCAACTAATGTCTATGCCAAAGTCTTATGTCTAGAGCAAGGGTGGAAAAATCTTTTTCTTTCCAAGGGCTGTTTATAATATCATTCGTGGGCCACACAAAATTATCAATTTAAAAATTAGTCTACTATGAATTATTGAATTTTGAGTCCTGCCTGCCATTGGTTTGGCAAGGCCAGACCAAATGATTTCATGGGCCATAGATGCCCTGTAGGCTGGACATTCCCCATCCCTGATCTAGAGCATTAATGTTTGGGTTGAGGGTATTGGTTCTTGAAGCTCTTAGTATGGTTTCTTCTAGATGCTAAATATTTCAGATCAATGAATATATTTTGTGAGAGTGTTCTTTGTAGTTTTTACTTTTGCTTTTATTATACTTTTTGCCCTGTGATCTGGAGCTAGATTACCTAAATTTAAATCTCAACTCTGAAACTTAACTATCATGTGACCCTGGTGAAATTGGTGTTTTAGTTGTACTATCCTTAATAACCTATTGGTACCAGCCTTATTAATACTATCCTTAAAATAGGGATAATAATATCCACCTTCAATGTTTGTTATAAAGCACTTGTGTTTGGCATATAGTTCAGGTTTAATAAATGTTGGGGGGCTGGCACTGTGGCATAGTGGGTAAAAGCTGCCACCTACAGTGCTGGCATCCCATATATCCCATATAACCCATATGGGTGCTGGTTCGAGTCCCAGCTGCTCCACTTCCAATCCAGCTCTCTGCTATGGTCTTGGAAAGCAGTAGAAGATGGCTCAAGTCCTTGGGCCCCTGAACCCATGTAGGAGACCTGGAGGAAGTCCCTGGCTCCAGGCTTTGGATCAGCACAGCTTTGGCCATTGCAACCATCTGGGGAGTGAACCAGCAGATGGAAGACCTCTCTCTCTTGCTCTGCCTCTCCTTCTCTCTCTCTGTAACTCTGACTTTCAAATAAATAAATAAATCTTTTTCTTCTTTATTTTTGACAGGCATAGTGGACAATGAGAGAGAGAGACAGAGAGAAAGGTCTTCCTTTTGCCGTTGGTTCACCCTCCAATGGCCACCATGGCTGGTGCGCTGCGGCCGGCGCACCATGCTGATCCCAAGCCAGGAGCCAGGTGCTTCTCCTGGTCTCCCATGTGGGTGCAGGGCCCAAGGACCTGGGCCAACCTCCACTGCACTCCCGGGCCACAGCAGAGAGCTGGCCTGGAAGAGGGGCAACCGGGACAGAATCCGGTGCCCCGACCAGGACTAGAACCCGGTGTGCCAGCGCCGCAAGGCGGAGGATTAGCCTATTGAGCCACGGCGCCGGCCAAATAAATAAATCTTTTAAAAAATGTTGGTTACTATTACTAAAATAATTGCTCATTTTTCTGATTTAAAAAACAGGCTTTGTCTATCAACCTTTTTCCTTTCTGAGTACTTGGTATCCATTGATTTTACCTTGTCTTTACTTATGTCATCCATTGTCACCCATTTTAATTGCTACTGTCGTGCTCTTTCCTATTATAGGACCTTGAAGCATACTCTTCTCCCTGTCTATAATGTTTTTCCTTTCTCTGTTTGCCTAGTCACCTCCTATTTGTTCTTTTTTTTTTTTTTTTTTGAAAGCAGAGAGAGAGAGAGAATCTTCTACCACTTGGTTCACTCCCCAAATAGTTGAAACAGTTAGGGTTGGTCCAAGATGAAGCCAGGAGCAGGAACTCCATCTGGGTCTTCCATGTGGGTGAAAGGGGCCCAAGTAATTGTGCCATGTTCCACTGCTTTCCTAGGTGGATTAGCAGGGAGCTGGATCACAAGTAGAGCAGCTGGGAGTTGAAGTGTTTTAAGTGGAAGCTTAATGTGCTGGGCCATGACACTAGCCCCATCTATTTTGTTTTTTAAACATAAAGGCATAGTGGCATGGACTATATCAGAGTTTTTTATTATTTTACACCCAGATCTTAGTACAGTGCCTGGCATACAGTAGAGCACTCATTGAAGTTTGGTGCATAAATGAATGTCAGCTGGCCTGAATCTGGAATCTCAGCTTATTCAGATATTCATTTTTATATTAATTTATATCTTGGCATTTTGTCTGTCTATTCTGTCTGCTGGTTCTACAAGTTTCAACAAATATTCATTAAACACATACACATATTTGGCTCTGTGCTAGAGGCTTGAAAAACAAATATGAAAGGTTAAGTTGTATGCTCTGAAGAACCTACTTGATTATTGGAGGGCACAAATATTCAAAGTGAGAAGGTATAATCCAGATTAATGGGATACTTGAGGCTGTACCAGATCAACTGGGCATATTGGACAGAAGGAAAAGGAGAGTGCAAATTTACCTGGGAAAGACAGTGCAAGATTCACAGAGGAGGCAATATCTATTGAGTAAAAAATGATGAGTAGCACTCACCCAAATAAACAAATGGAATAGAGCATCCATGGCTAAAAAAGAATTCCAGGGATTTTCCTTCTGTTGATTTAGACTTCTACATACCATTTTCTTTACTGCCTTTTTGGACATTAGACTAATACTGTTGTTCTGTAATAACCATAATCCTGCAGTTTCTCAGTTTGCAATGCATACACATTACATTTTGTTGTTTCTTCTTGCTCTTTTTCGCCTCTGTCCTGGATTTCCGTTGCACACACATTTTGGTTCTTCTTTGTAATGTGCGTTGTCTTTAACTCTTTATCTACATAAGGTATTCATTCCTAATGGCTCATTTGTTTTTAGTGCTTACTGTACTTATTACTACTGCATCGAGATTCTGGGTTGAAGATACTTACCTGGGGTGGATGGTATGTGATAGATATACATTCAAGAAAGTGGTAGAATGGGAGAATTTCAGTTCTAGCAAACCTCGAGAAAGCATCATAAATAGAAACGTCAGTGAGGGGACTCCAGAGGAGCACTGAAATGGCAGGCAGGCGAACCCAGGGTTTAAAGAAAACGCAGCATTATGGACCTGTCTCCTCTTCTTCCCGCGCCTATGTTTCTAAATCTGTTCAATGAAAGCTATTAAACACACATATTGCACACACACAGCGGGCGAGATCCCCGAGCACGCTAGGCACTCACCCCTGATGGCCGGAAGGAGCGGGGCGGAGCGTCAAGACTCGCAGCTGTGCTCCAGCAGATTGGGGGAGGGGTGCGCGGAGCCGACAGTTTCGGATGAAAAGGCAAAAGGTGGGTGCAAAGCTGCCTTGTAAGCCCCCACCCCTTACTTGCATTTCCGTCTGCTCTGCGGAGTTGGCAGTCGCGGCCTGCAACACAGGTGGGTCCCGCCCCATGGGTCGGTGAAAGGGTATTCCCAGTGGGTGGGATGAATGGATTTGCCCAGGTGCTCGCTTTTAGGCCTTACGCAGTGAGTGGCCGCGGCTGCCACCCGGGCTTCTTGGCCCCAGGGCTGTGGTACTCACGTTAGCCTGGAGGAGGGAGAAGGCCACTCCTGCTTTGCCGCAGGGCTGTCGTCACAGTTTGTGCCAGTTTCGCGACAGAGTTCGCCTGGAGATCAGCGCGGGGCCAGATGGGCCTAGCGCTCCGGAAGAGCTGGAGCAAGCTCGCTCTCATTGACTGACATCCAGCATACATTGTCTCAAACTCTGTCGGATTTTCCAGCCCTGGGTCTGTCACTAACTTGCTGTGCAGCTTTCAGAGTCCCTTGAATTTCCTGCCTCACTTTGCTTAGCAGTGGAGAGGATAATGGTACTCGGCTCGCGGGGCAACACTGATTTTCTTTCCTTCTCAAATCCACTGATGTTCTTGCCGATTTTACACTTTGCGCCTCCAGAGCAAGACACAGTAGGACACTGGGGAAATTTGGCTAGCAAGCTCTCATTCTAAAAACAACTCTAAAAACATTTTAATACTACTCACTGCATTGAGAACTAGGAATGACATTCATTCGATGCATTAATTGAATGTTAACTCTGAATAAAGCTCTATTAGAGATTTTAACCAGATGATTGCCCAAAATATTGTGTGGCAAATGAACATAATACACTGATGGCAAAAAGTCTCATGCTGAAAGAATTGCGTAACTTAAGTCAATAAACCTGAAAAGAAACCTTTACCTCTCCTACTTAGAAATACTTTCATAATCTACTCCCAGCCAACAACAGTCTTATAGCTTGCTATTGGCTATAGCAGGGTACACTGTAGTAAATATTACATACACTTTATTTATGGTACATTATTTATTTATGGTACATTAACTCAAGAACAAAGGCAAACAACAATTATAAACTTTATAAACCAACACTATGCTGTCAACTTCCAATTCCTCCTTAAATAACTAGCAAAATAATGATAATGATTGTGTGTTTTTCAAATTACTATAATTTTTACAACCCCTGAGAGGTAAATATCATTATTTATCACAATTGATGGAACTAGGACATAAGCCTCAGCCATTTTAGCTCCTTGCCTGAGAGCAGTTAAAATTCCCCAAGGGACCCCTTTACCTCTACATTCTTCAAGAAACCGGCTCAGTCCCATGCTCTTTATTCTCCACCCCACCTTCTACATTCTTTTCCAAATACCTAGTCCATGGAGAGGAAGGTTGAAAAGTGTTGGAAAAAACCTATGAGAAGTAGCTCAGCTCCCCTTACCTCCCTCCCTCTGACCCTTAACCCACCCTAAAGTATATAAGACCCAGCCGGCTGGAGAATTATGCTCTGTGTGCACAGCATTAGTTAGCTACCTCATAACTACTACTAATGTTTACTGGGGTGATTGAGTCTGGGGATTCTTTAGTGTGCTCCACCCAGTTCTTTATTTCTTAGGAGTGTGGACTGTGATGGATCACTTCCTTGTTTTGGTGTCTGTGTTAGGAACCACAAGTAGTTCTGTATCCCTGCTTGTCAACTCCAGGCCCAGCAATAAAGTATCCAAAATGATCAGTTGGTGCCTACGATGTTTCTGGAAGCTGTGTTTTTTGCCTGCCAGGGCTGTGGGGAGGGGACTTCTGGATTAATAAAACTCTTTGGTGAGAAGATTCTCTTCTTGTTTGGAGCCAAACTGAACATAGGCCCACCAGCTGGGCACAGCCATGACCCTCTTTCTACAGCCTCTAAGGCTGTCCACCTCCATGCTCCTATGGACTGTATACCTACTACCCTCCACCATTCACTGCCTGGTGTAAAGTTTTACAGAATAAAAGGCTCTTGGAAAAACCCAGCCTGTGCCACACCTGCAGGCATTAGACAAGGAGTAGCTAAGGTGGATATTTTTCTGAGTGAGGGGAGAGCCTGCTGATTCCCCAAGTGTTCTGAAAAATGAGAGGGAATTTGTGTCTGGGCACCTGCTGCACTGACCTTAGGGTGAGTTTAAGACTGGCTGTCTGGCAGGACCAGTGTGACTTCTTTGTTTAGCCATATTTGGACTCTACTTGCTCATCTATTGTTTGCTCTATTCATCATATTTATTCAGTCACTCCAAAGACAATCAATGGATGCCTACTCTGTGCCAGGATGCTGATCTACTCATTGCAACTGGCAGCATAGGACTACATCATTGACCACAATGTTCAACAAGTAAAAAGTAGAAAAGCCACTGTTCCACAGGAATATAGACAAGGCTAAAAAATAATAATCAAATCATAAGATGTCAGTTTCATTCTTTTTTTAAAAAAATTATTAATACAAAGGGGACAGATTTCATGTATTTCAATTTTAGCACATTTCCATCATCTCAATGACATCCCCATCGTCCATTTGCAATAAAATCCCATTAACAACCCTGGCAGCAGGCAACCACTACTGCTTTCTTTCTCTCTGGATTTATGTATTGTCGACATTCCATGTAAGTGGAATCATATGCTCTGAGGCCTCATGTGTCTAGGTTCTTACACTTACCATAACATTTCCCAGGATTATCCATTCTGTAGCATGAATCAGCATTCCCTTCATTTTCGTGGCTGGATAACATTCCATTGTATCGCTGTACTACATTTTCTTTATTGAATCATTAGTGGATGGACATTTGAATTGTTTCTACCTCTCAGCTGTTGCCGATGGCACTGCTATGAACATTTGTGTACACATTTTTGTTTGAACACCTGTTTTCAGTTCTTTTGAGAATGCACCTACAAATCGAATTGCTTGGTCATATTTTAATTGAATGTTTAAGTTTTTGACAAACTGTTTTCTAAATGTATTGCACCATTTTACATTCATTATATTCACATGAGACACCAGCAATGTATAGCAATTCTAATTTCTCCATATCCTCACCAGTACTTGTTGTTTCCCCTTTTTTAAAAGATTGTAGCTATCTCTGTAGATGTGAAGTAGTATGCCATTATGGTTTGCAATTGCATTTTCCAGGTCACTAGCTAAGTATCTTTTCATGTGTTTGTTGGGAATTTGTATGTATCACTTGGAAAAATATCTACTTGTTTATTTTGTTCACTTTTCAATGGGTTATTTGCCTCTTTATTTCTGAGATACAAGAGTCCTTTATATACTCTGGATACAAGTCCTTTATTGGTTATATGGTTTGAAACTATTTTCTTTCAATCTCTGTCTGGTATTTTCATTTTCTCAGTGGTGTGTTTTGAAAGGCAAAGGTCTTGAATTTGGTTGAAGTCCAATTTATCATTTTCTTTTGCAGACTATGTTTTTGGTTTTTTATCTAAGAATTCTTTTCTTAATCAAAGATCATGAAAGTTTTGTCCTATGATTTCTTCTAAAAGGCTTATAGTTTTACCTCTTTCATTTATATCTCTGATCCATATTGAGTTACTTTTGTGCATAATGTTGTGTTATTTAACGAACAGAATTCATCTTTTTGAAAAGGATATTCAATTTCCCATTATCATTTATTGAGAGAATATAATTTTCCTATTGAACTGCCTTGGAACCATTTTTGAAAACCAATATATATACATTATATATATATATAGTTTCATATATAGATTTCATATACATATAGATTTATATATATAGATGTATATATTGGTTATATATAAAATATGTATGGGTTTATATCTTAACTCTCAACTGCGTTCCATTTGTCTATATTTCTATCCTTATGCCAGTCTCATACTGTGTTGACTTTCTAATAAGTCTTTACGTTGGGAAGTATGAGGTTTTTGTTTTTTTTTCTTTATTTGAAGGGCAAATTTATATATATAGAGAGATGGAGATTGTATTAAATCTACCTTGGGAGAGCTGCAATTTAACAATGTTAAAATTTTCAGTACAATGAACGTTAAGTGTCTCTCCATTTATTTAGATACTTAGTTCCCTCAACAGTGTTTTGTAGTTTCATTGTGAAAATCTTTCACTTATTAAACTTATTCTTAAGTATTTTGCTTTGAGGCTATTGTGAATTATTTTCATAATTTCACTTTCTGATCTTTCTATGTATAGAGAAATATGAATGTGTATTTATTTTGTATCTATGACATTGCTGAATAGAACTATTAGTTCATGTGTATGAGTTTGTGTGTGTATTTATTAATATTTTCTCATACAAGGTTACATAAAAGTAGATTTAGTTTTTTTTCCTCTTGATTTGTATACTTTTTACTTCTTTTTGCTGCCTACTTCTCTGGTACAATGCTGAATAAAAATGGCAACAGTGAACAACTTTGTTACCGCTCTTGATCTTAGGTGAAAACATTCAATCTTTCATCATTAAATATTTTGAGATTAGCTATGTGGTTTTTGCAGATGTCGTTCATCAGGTTGCCAAAGTTCTTTTTTGATAGTTGCTTGAGTTTTTCTTTTTTCATCATGCATGGGTATTGGATTTTGTCAGATGTTTTATCTGCAAGTATTGAAATGATCATGTGGTTTTTGTCCTTTTTCGACAGAACACATTATTAACTGATATAATAGTGTATTAAATTTAATAGTGTATTAAATTCATTTTGGGCTGTTAAATTGACAGTGTTTTCCTGAAATAAATCTTTCTTGGTCATGGTTGTAGAATCTTTTTTTTAAAATCAGTGAATTTGATTTGCTCATATTTTGTTGAAGATTTTCAAAAAAAATTGCTGAGAGAGAGAGAGAGAATGTCTTCCAGTTCACCTCCAAAATGTCTGTTATAGTTGGGACTGGGCTAAGCCAAAGCTGGGAGGTGGGAACTCAGTTGCATCTCCCACAGGGGTGGCAGGGATACAACTACTTGTGCATCACCTTCTGACCCCTCCAGGGTGCACATTAGCAGACAACTGGAATTGGGAGTGGAATCTGGACTCAAACTCAGGCACTCTGCCAATTGCTTGCTCATTGTTAAGGATTTTTGCATCTATATTCACAGGGGATA